AAAAAAAAAAAAAAAAAAAAAAAAGAATTTAAAAGTGTATTTTTTTCCCAAGCCATAAGACAACCTAGCTTTCATTTCTTTCTTCCCACTACTCACCTTCTTTGTATGGGCGTTTTTCATTATAGAACACAGAAAATTGTACATTCTAGCCTAAGTAAAAAGAGGAATTTGTTTTAGGGCTGTAGAAAGCGCCTCCAAGAAGCAAGGGTAGAATGTGCAGCTGAATCTCAGGAGAGCCTCGAACCAGGAACTGGAATGTCACCAGGTATCAGAAGAGTCTCTGGGGGGCCACATAGTCTTTTTTTTTTTGATTCGGTGTCTCACTTCGTCACTCAAGGCCACCCCAGCATCAACCTGCTGGGCTCTGGCAATCGTTCCGCTTCAGCCTTCCAAAAAGCCAGAACTACAGGCATGTGCTACCATATCCAGCTAATTTTTTTATTTATTATAGAGATGAGCTCTCGCCAAGTTGTCCGGGCTGATCTCGAACTCACAGGCTCAGGCAATCCACTCACTTCGGCCTCTGAAAGTACTGGGATTACAGGCTGAGCCACTGAGCCCGGCCTGGGGCACATGGTCTTTTAACCACTCTCCCTTACTGTAGTTGCCTCATTCCTGCTTTAGAGGCCAGCCTTGCCTCTTTCTCTGTGTATAGTAAAGAAGGTGACTATTGTGGGCTCTGTCACTCAGCCTCGGTGTGATCACCCAGTGTGATGGGACTTGTATCCTACTGTTGATGATCCCTAATTCCCAGGAGAGAAAATATGATCAGCTAGTTTGGGTCAGGTATCCCCCCCATTTAGAATGCTCTGTGTATTTCTGTCTGCCTATAAGCAACCACCATCAGAGGGTGAGCGTCAGAGTTTCTATGGAAAGGAGATACTTCTTAGAGAAGTTGGGTTACATGCCATAATAAATCTGGGACCATTTGACTTATAATGCTAGTAGTTCTTAATCACCTTCATAGCTCCTGAAACCACAGTATATGAGCAGTGATCCTGCATCGTTGAGAACACAAGTGGTATTCTGTATCCTTTGCTTTTACTACCTTTGGGAGTCTGTGATGCCTTTGGGAAAGCTCCGTTCAGTAGAGTACAAGAGTGGTTCGTTAAGACCTGGCAGAGCCGGGCTCAGTGGCTCAGCCTGTAATCCCAGCACTTTGGGAAGCTGAGGTGAGTGGATTGCCTGAGCCCGCGGGTCTGAGACCCGCCTGGGCAACTTGGCGAGACCTCATCTCTACAATAAATGAAAAAATTAGCTGGGTGTGGTAGCGCGCACCTGTAGTTCCAGCTACTTGGAAGGCTGAGGCGGAAGGATCGCCAGAGCCCAGCAGGTCGAGGCTGTGGTGGCCGGGAGCATGCCACTACACTCCAGTGTGGGCAACAGAGTGAGACTCCAACTCAAGAAAAAAAAAAAAAAAAAGACCTGGCAGTCTGATTACAGAGAAACATTTGCCATGTACAGAGACAGGTTCTAGAAGAATGCTGGATTTTTCCATGTATCCCCCCTCTAGCTTGTGCAGTGGTCCTGTGGCTGAAGTTTTTGATAAAAGCAAAAGACAAAGGACTGATTGTGCTTTCTGGATCTCTCTTGTGAGTGGGAGTTTTCATTCTCTCCTCTGACAGAGCCTGTCTTTCCCTCTAGGTGTGTGGGAATGCCCTCATGAAACAGTACCAGATCCAGTTCTGGAAGATGATCGTTCTCCTCAAAGATGACTACTTCCCCAGGTATCGGGCCTATTGAGCAGGCAGCAGGAGATGTAGTGGGTAAAATTCATGAACCAGGAATCAGATACCCCTGGGTGCTGTTACAAATTGGTTTTGACTCAGGTTAAAAACACCAGAATTAGGCCAGGTGCAGCGCTCACACTGGTAATCTCAGCACTTTGGGAGGCTGAGGTGGGAGGATTGCTTGAACCCAGGAGTTCAAGACCAGCTTGAGCAACATAACAAGACCTCATCTCTACAAAAATAAAAAAATAAGTTGAGCAGGGTGGCATGCACCTGTAGTCCCAGGTAGCCAAAAGGCTGAGGCGGAAGGATCGCCTGAGTCTAGTAGGAGGTCAAGTCCGCGGTGAACTGTGATTGTTCCACTGCACTCCAGCCTGGATGACAGAGTGAGACCCCACCTCATTAAAACAAATAAACAAACAAAATATCTGTAGTAAATATGACATCTTCTATCCTTCTCTTTGATATTTGAATAAATGCTTTTGAAATCTAATGAGAGGCCAGGCTCGATGGCTCAGCCTATAATCCCAGCACTTTGGGAGGCTGAGGTGAGTGGATTGCCTGAGCCCGCGGGTTCGAGACCCGCCTGGGCAACTTTGCGAGACCTCATCTCTACAATAAATAAAAAATTAGCCAGGCTTGGTAGCGCGCGCCTGTAGTTCCAGCTACTTGGAAGGCTGAGGCAGAAGGATTGCCAGAGCCCAGCAGGTTGAGGCTGCAGTGGCCAGGAGCGGCCACTGCACTCTAGTCTGGGTGACAGAGTGAGACTCCAACTCAAAAAAAAAAAAAAAAGAAATCTAATGAGAGTTAGATTAAATATTATTGGCTAAACAAAAACACAAATTAGGAAGGTCTTGGATTAAGATATTTGGCATTTTTTAGCTATTCTTTTTCAGGTGCCCCCAGATAATCAGGGAATGGTACATGTGGTCACGAATTAAACCAGTGAATCAGGTCTTCTCATTAAATCAGTTGGAAAAGCTGATTTGTTGGCCAGTGTACTTGACTCTGTCTGGTGTGGCATTCATCTGTAAGTACCCTTCAATTTCCTCTCAACTCATTGGCATTTCGAGTGGGGGAAGACCTTAACAAAACCTATCCCACCTGATCACAAAGACCCTGGAAAGGAGCAGTGCTCTCCTCCTCTGTCCCCTTGTTTGAAAAGCAGGTTGGGACCATTTGGAAGATTGACAGAATTCTTTTTTTTTTTTTGAGTTGGAGTCTTACTCTATCGCCCAGATTTTTTCGAGTTGGAATCTCACTCTGTCGCCCAGACTGGAGTGCAGTGGCTGCTCCCGGCCACTGCAGCCTCGACCTGCTGGGCTCCGGCGATCCTTCCGCCTCAGCCTTCCGAGTAGCCGGAATTACAGGCTGAGCCACCGAGCCCGGCTTAATTTTTTGATTTATTGTAGAGATGAGGTCTCACCAAGTTGCCCAGGTGGGTCTCGAACCCGTGGGCTCAGGCAATCTACTCACCTTGGCCTCCCAAAGTGCTGAGATTATAGTCTGAACCACTGAGCCTGGCCAACAGAATTCTTAATCTAGAAGACATCTCTGTGAGTCATTTGGTGTATCCTCTTTCCAGATCAATATGTGTCGGCTGTAAGGGAGTCACGTCTTCTTTCTTCCCCTGTAGAATCGAAGCCATCACAAGCTCTGGACAGATGGGTTCCTTCATACGTCTCAAGCAGTTCTTAGAGGTGAGATGCCTTTAGACCAAAGTGTCCCATACTGCTGTTGGCCTTGAACTTACCTATTTCTGACAAGTCTCGGACCTCTGGATGCTCTGATTGCAGTCTCTTCCTCTAGTAATGTATTTAATGAGACCAGGCATGGTGGCTTATGCCTGGAATCTCAGCACTTTGGAAGGCTGAGACAGGAGGGTTACTTGAGACCAGGAATTCAGGACCAACCTGAGCGATATGGCAAGACCTTGTCTTTACAAAAAATTACTCTGGCATGGTGGCATGTGCCTGTAGTCCCACCTTCTCAGGAGACTGAGGTGAGAGGAGTGCCTGAGCCCTAGAGGTTGAGGCTGTGGTGAGCCATGATTGTGCCACTGCACTCCAACCTGGGTGACAGAGTGAGACCCTGACTTGAGGGGAAAGAAAAAGAATCTTCTCTCACCAGTGCATTTTTTGCACTTTGGTCAAGGTTTTTTCCTCAGTCTCAGATCTGGGGAACTGGTAAGTATGGTCTCTTCTCCATGAGAACAAACTGTACTTTCAGTTGGACTCTTTTCCTGCCTATTTCTGAGTGCCAAGAAATTTTAAGAGGTTAATTTTGACAAATAATTGAAAGCTTCATGCTAGGTTCGCCAAAATTAGCCCACTGACTTTCAGCTTCCTGGAGCTCAGTTAGCAAAATAGTGATAGCGAAAGATGAGAGCAGGCTGTAGGGAGACAAGGGTGGGATGGGCATAATGATAGCATTTTTTCTCTGCTGCAGTTTATGCAGAAATGGCTGTCTTATCCACAACCATCAGTCTTAGTGGCTTTTTCCTTTGTGTTCACTGTTCTGTTGGACTGAATTGTAATCGCTAAGTGTTGGGCATGCTGTTATCAGAAGCTCATTGTGTTCTCTTCATCTCTCCTTCACCAGAAATGTTTGCAACGCAAGGAGATTCCTGTCCCCAAAGGCTTTCTCACTTCTTCCTTCTGGCGCTCCTGATGCCACTCCATCACCAGTGTCACCGTTATGTTGCAAAGAGGCAATAATAAAGCAACTGAAGACAGCTGTGTTTGGGAGAAATTGTGTCAGATTAGAAATTTGCCAATGGGTATTTTTATACATTTGTATAAGAGGAGATTTTTCACGAGTTACAAAATCTTGGAGAATCCTTAGATTTGGTGGCACCTTAAGGCATCTATGTGACAGGAAATGGTCTTTTTGTTTTTGCAAAAGTGATGAGAAAAGGTGTCTAGGACTCAGTCTTCTCCTTCATTTCCTTTGTCTCTAGTATCTTTCAGAAAGTTGGTAATATCTTAGCCATTTCACTGTGAGCTGGAGTGAGCCCACCATTTTCACCACCCACCTAACCCCACCCTGTTCAGATGAATTCTCTGAAAGAGCAAAGACTCATAAGGTTCCCTTTATTTTATTAATTTATTTATTTTTATATTTTCTTGAGTAGGAGTCTCACTCTGTTGCCCAGGCTGGAGTGCAGTGGCATGCTCACAGCCACCACAGCCTCAACCTGCTGGGCTCAGGTGATCCTTCTGCCTCAGCCTTCCAAATAGCTGGAAACACAGGCATACGTCACTATTCCTGGCTAATTTTTTTAATTTATTGTTGAGACGAGGTCTTGCCAAGTTGCTTAGGCTGATCTTGAACTTCCGAGCTCAGGCAGTCCTCTTGCCTCTGTCTCCCAAAGTGCTGAGATTACAGGTGTGAGCCACCGCTTCTGGCCCAAAGTTCCCTTTAAAGTCTCATTTCAGAGTAGAGGCCAGATCCTTGAATGCAAGTCTGGGTTATGGTGTTTTGCCTTTCTGAGTTTGTGAAGTAATTCTAAATCCTGAGGAAACGTGTAACATACACATGGATTAAGTCCTCAGTGGCATCAAAGATAGCTTAGTATCTGGGATTAGGACAGGAAACACATGTGATATTGAACTAAGGTGCATTCCTTGTCGTTTTAATTTGGAATTTGATCCCTGAATGACTAGGAATGCATAAACCGGCACAGGCATATTTTGGTTTTGTTTTTCAGCTTGGATTAAGATGGGCTGAGATAGGGCTGGCGACACTGTACATGAGCTTAGCAACCATTAGCAGTGGATCAGGGTTAACTAAAGATGTTAGGGGGGAATTGAGAATGGCTTTATGATTTTTTTATGTTCTGAGTAATGAATGATGATAAATTTGCCTGACTAAAGCCACTGCAGAAATTCAGAGCTTGGCTGTTCAAATTAGAGTTGAGATTTGCTTTATGGAAAGACTCATTCTCATATTCAGTAAAGTCTGCCACCATGGTCTATTCCTCTATGCTAAATGTCTTATGGAGGGTGTTTGTGGGGGAGTGCCCACCAGTATTCTTGAGTGGCTTAATGTGACCCATTCTATGAACTGTTGAGTACAGTGCCAAAAAATAAGTAATAAAACTTGATTTTTAAAAAACCCATTACTGATATATAATTGGCTCAATATGATCAATCACCTGTAGCTTAAGCTATATAAATCATTAGGGGCATGGTAGTATACAAATCTAGATTTAGAGTGGTATACATTTTTTTGTCTTCTTGATCTTCACCTTGGGAATATTGCGTCTTCTTCTGTCATTCTTTTTTTTGGAATTATGTGCCAATAACTGACCCCATTTTATCTAGCAAGAGATGTGAAAGTATTAAAGTCTTTTTAAAGTAGACACAATGGCATGAGCGCTGGGAAGGAGTCAAGAGACCTGGGCTCAATCACTTTGATGTTTTATGGCCTTGGGTAGGTCATTCATCCTCTGTGAACCTCAGTATTCCCTCCTACAAAACCAAAGACTCTAGTTTGCTCTAGTTTTCCGATAGTGCTCCATAGCAGTTCCTTAGGGCAGGGCTCTGGCTGGCGTGCCTTGGCACACTGACCGCATTAGCCTGTGGGACTGCCAGTGCTAGGTGAGCCCCCAGGGCCAGCTACCATTTGTGCTCTTTGCTTGTCCTCACAAATGGCGTCCTTTTCTATGTTCTGTGACAAGAACAGATTGAGAAGCATTCACTTTAAGATGAGTGTGAGTCAGGCGCAGTGGCTCACGCCTGTCATCCCAGCACTTTGGGAGGCGTAGGTGAGAGGATTGCCTGAGCCCACAGGTTTGAGACCTGCCTGGGCAACATGGTGAGACCTTGTCTCTACAGTAAATCAAAAAATTAGCTGGATATGGTGGTCCACACCTATAGTTCTAGCTACTTGGAAGGGTGAGGCAGAAGGATTGCCTGAGTCCAGCAGGTCAAGGCTGTGGTGGCTGTCTGGGCAACAGCGTGAGACTCTGACTCAAAAAAAAAAGTAGGCAAGGTGCGGTGGCTCAGCCTGTAATCCCAGCACTTTGGAAGGCCGAGGCAAGAGGATTGCCTGAGACTGGGACTCGAGACCAGCCTGCGTTCTTGGTGAGACCTCATCTCTACAATAAATCACAAAAACTAGCCAGGCATGGTGACGTGCATCTGTAGTTCCAGCTACTTGGAAAGCTGAGGCGGAAGGACCACCTGAACCCAGCAGGTTGAGGCTGCGGTGGCCATGAGTGTGCTACTGCACTCTAGCCTGGGTGACAAGAGTGAGACACCAACTCAAAAAAAAAAAGAAAAATGAGTGAATGGAGCTCAGCCCTGTAGCTAGTCATATGAAGGCTTTTTGCAGATTTCAAAAAGGCATCCCTTTTCCTTCAAAATACCACCGCCTTCTATTGGAAAGTCATCCTGTTAATAATTATGAAAACCTGGCTAAGTGTAGTGGCTCATGCCTGTAAAGTCAGCACTTTGGGAGGCTGATGTGGAAGGATTACTTGAGACCAGGATTTCAAGACTTGCCTGGGCCACCTAGTAAGACCTCATCTTTACAAAAAATTTTAAGAACTTAGCTGGGCAGAGGTTTGCCTGTAGTCCTAGCTATTCAGCAGGCTGAGTTAGAAGAATCTCTTGAGCCCCAGGAGTTCCATACTGCAATGAGCTATATTCACTTTGTCATCCAGGAGCTCCAGCCTGGATGACAGAGTGAGAACCTGTTTCTTTAAAAAAATTCATAAATAAGTTATGTAAACTTATGAAACTAGGAGATGGATGGTGCCTTCCAGAGTTGTGCAGCTTACATTCTGTACCACCATCAAGTGGGGCCCTGCTGGAGATCTCTGCCACAGCATTTTTGCTTTATTTATTTATTTTTTTGTTTTGTTTGGTTGGTTTTTTTGAGCTGGAGTCTCACTCTGTCACCCAGCCTGGAGTGCAGTGGCCGCTCCCGGCCACCGCAGTCTCGACCTGCTGGGCTCCGGCGATCCTTCCGCCTCAGCCTTCCAAGTAGCCGGAACTACAGACACGTGCTGCCACGCCCAGCTAATTTTTGATTTATTGTAGAGATGAGGTCTCGCCAAGTTGCCCAGGCAGGTCTCGAACCCGCAGGCTCAGGCAATCCACTCACCTCAGCCTCCCAAAGGTGCGGGATTACAGGCTGAGCCACTGAGCCCGGCTAGCTTTATTTGTTTTATGTGCTATATATGTTGTGGTTCCGTACAAATGTATGTGCGGAAAAATTCATCTGTCAAAAACCAAATGTGAAAAATCACTGGACATGGCCAGGCATGGTGGCTCATGCTTGTAATCCCAACACTCTGGGAGACCAAGGCAGGCGGATTGCTTTAGTCTAGGGCAATATAGTGAGACCTTGTCTCTACAAAGATAAAAATTTAAAAATTGGCATGTACCTATAGCCCCAGCTACTCAGGAAGCTGAGGCAGAAGGATCATCTGAGCCCAGGAAGTTGAGGCTGCAGTAAGCCATGATCATGCCACTATACTCCAGCCTGGACAACAGAGTGAGACACTGACTCAAAAAAGAAAAAAAAAAACTGGGGAAGATGATCTCTACAGCCTCTTCCACTTTGAATTTGCACCGTTCCATAGAAAATACCTCTTAGGATACTTGAATATTCTTCCTGTAGATGTGGCTAGCAGTCTTGCATGTTATTTGATACTGGCATTCCTAATGGATTCTGGATGGTAAATCAAGAAAGGAGACTGGGTTTTTGAAAATCACAGGTAAAGATAACACTTGCTAGCTGAGAGATGCAGCTCCCGATGGAGCGTAGCATCAGATTCCTCACAGTAGAAGACTAAGAACTGCATCTGGTTTTCAGTTCAAGTACTCACTTGTCTGCTTGCTTCCTTTCAAGCTTGACCTAATTTCTCAGGCTGAGGGCCCATATTTTTGTCACATCATTGTCCTATATTACCTTAAAGCTAATTTGATGATGTATTGAAAATTCTGATAGGACAGAAGCTACACATTCCTTGCATAGAGGAACAGAATTGTTCTGAGGATTTCCCACCCATGTGCTGGGCACTTTCTGCTTCTCAAGCTTCCTGTGATAATAAGCAGTGACATGATTTGGCTTGGATGTCTTATGCCTCAGCGCCAGGACAACCAAAGGCTCTGTGACAGCCACAGAGCTTCTTACAGATGGCTTATCTCTCCTGATCATTCCTTCCTTTTTCTTCATTCAACCTGATGAATTCTTGACATTAGATTTCCTGTGGACCTACCAAGAGCAGATGAAACCTGTGGCCTCCTAGCTATGTGGTGCATTTGCAAAAACACCCATGATAAAGGAATTTATCCTCTAACTTATAACCAGCTTCCATTTTCTCCCTTCCTCCCTCCTTCCCTCCCTCCCTCGCTTCCTTCCTTCCTTCCTTCCTTCCTTCCTTCCTTCCTTCCTTCTTTCCTTCCTTCCTTTGTTTTTTGAGTTGAGGGCTCACTCTGTCACCCAGGCTGGAGGACAGTGGCACAATCAGGGCTCACCATAGTCTGGATCTGCTAGACTTAGGCGATCCTTCTGTCTCACCCTTCCAAGTAGTTAGAACTACAGGCACACGCCACCATGCCTGGCTAATTTTTTTATTTATTGTAGAGATGAGGTCTCGCCAAGTTGCTCAGACTGGTCTTGAACCCGTGGGCTCAGGCAATCCTCTCACCTCAGTCTCCCAAAGTTGCAACTTATTTCTTTTTCTTTTCTTTTTTTTTTTGAGTTGGAATCTCACTCTGT